CGCAAATAAGATACCAATTCTGAACGAGAAGTAGAGACTTCATGTGTGTTTTCTAGCGTGTACTAGAATGGACATTGTCGATATCTCAATGTTCATTGCAAAATTCGTCTCAAGCAACGCATTAGTTACTAAATTTAAAACCATGTTAGCCAGTCTTGTAGCATATGAAAATTTGTGCTTACAACTGGTTTTTAATCCGTGTCGAAAACGTGCACAGAATGGTCGTTTTGTGCACGTTTCCGACACGGCTTATCAGCTACCTCAAGTGCCAAATCCATGAAATAAACAACCAATGTCAATAGAGTAGCCTAGGTGTTAAAAATGGATTAAGTACTGGCAAACCAACTTCTGCATAGGTATGTTTCTAAAAGCTTGCTTTTTAGCTGATTTAGTCATCATTTTTGAACTCAGAAGCCCGCAAAATCTAATATTACATGTGAGAACGAAACAAATCCGTCGAGATTTCACGTTTTCTCGTAAAAGGAATGCTGGCTGTTCCCTCTCTGGACTCCCTCCCGCGTATACTAGTACTGGTACTACCATGGATTAGTACCTTCCATGGTACTACCAACTCTAACCATGTCCCTATTTGGTGACGCATGTCAAGCTATAAATGGGCATCAATACTCATTTCGCCCAATATTTCGCTTTTATAACATTTTATAACATACCGCTTAATTTCCGACTGGAAAAACGACCATGTTTTTATCCCTTTTTTTCTCACTCGCTTATTAAAAACACAGACCGCTTGTTCAAACACTGAACACTGGCACATGAGTTGTCGAAATGGTTGTTTTAGTGCTAAAGTTTGAGGATTCAATGAGTATTAACCATTATTTAATTTCGAACGACACTTCCAAACCATCATACTTTGTTTCGTTCGCGAACGTAACTTGAACTATGACCTCTTGTTATGTGAACGTTCCATAACAAGCTGATAGAGCGGGACTGTGTTCCGTTTGAATCCAGGGCTGCTATCTCGTTTCAACAATATGATTATCGAGACAATTACGTGATATAGGTAATGCTAACTCCTTGGGGCAGAGAACAGAGACACCAGGAACATATTGATGCCACGGCCATGTATTTAAAATGCGAGCGTGCAGACGAGAGATATTTCTGGGTTCGCGCGCTCGAAAAATTAAGCGGAAATAATTCAACATAAGCGAGTAAAAATAATGATCGAAAAGCAGAAGCGAGCAGGAGGTTGGATGAAATTAGTGCTGTACATTCAGGTCCTTTGTAAAAAATACGATCGGCTAAGATCTATGTCATTCTGTAGCACGCCAGAGACAGACAAAATGCAGTTTTAAATATTGACACCGTTCGTATTTTTTAAATGAGTCAAAAAATAAATAAATTGTATGCTGCTTAAGCGATGATCGATCGAAACAGACTCGTTTTAACGGCTACGTTCTGCTGAAGATATAAGACTTCACTTTCGGAGTTATTACCGAAGATAATGTACGACAGCAAAAAAACAACAACATTTGGTTATGTAAAATAGAGTAGCATTCATGTAGGTCCAATCAGTACTGTTGTATCGTATATTTCGTCAACCGAACGTTACTACCCGGACCTGCTCGTCGATTATTATTGCAAATGTCATTTCTTTCCAGAATCAATTGAGTATAAGTACGTTATTTTAGAATGGTTTTCATTTGGTTTCACCATAGACCCTCAACCCTTTGTTGAGGGTCTATGGTTTCACCATGGAAGGTACTAACGGAAGGAGCCACGACGCCTCTCAGGTGGCCACTTAAGCTTCTTTACGGGCTTATTTTCTTTTGTTTCAACCCAAGTTAATCCTGATGAGGACATTGTCTAGCTCATCTTTGATGTCGATGATAGTTTGCGACTGTTTACACAAGTAACGAGTTAGCGGAATATGACATAACCTTGCCGATTTTTAACATGACCATAAAATATATGCGCATTATGAAACTATGGTCATCACACATGCGTACTCGGTTTGTTTAGGTGCGAAAGGTCAAAATACGTATTTCATAGCCGGCAATTCAATAGATGAACGTTTGACTTCACGTATTTCACATGTTTTAATTATTAGCAACTGTAGCAAGAACAAGATTTTGAGTGTCTACAACAAAAATTCCAAAGGACTCCTAAAAAATATTATCACTGGAAAAGTGTCTAGGCATGCCCTTCTTTTGATACTATCTTTTCTGGTGGTGTTCGTCGATGCCCGGTGGTCGAAAATTTCAATAGTTTCGGGCCTCAAACCAACGCAATGACAATGGTACCATTGAATAGTGCAGTCGTTATTATCACAGGCAATCATTGATTAAGTCTCATCACCATTACAAATACAAAAAGATTCACGATAGTTCATCAATTCTTCTTCAATCGATGTTATATCTGCCAATTTTTCATTAAAGTTCGCCAAAATCTCCGGAAACAACAGTATTCATACTAGACGCCATTTTCAGTATTGTACATGCGAGGTTCGTCGATCGCTTCCGAACATGCCCCGAATATTACCGAATGCTCGAGATGAGTGTAACCCATTGTACAAAGGTGTTAAGAGCTAACAAGAACCAATGTTTGTGAACAAACAATGACAAACGATCATGGGGTAAAGCTAAAACAATAGCGTCGTAGCTCCTTCCGTTAGTACCTTCCATGGTTTCACCATAGTTCCATGGTTTCACCAAAGACAATTGTCTTTGGTTTCACGTGATAGTTAATCTGATTTATCATATAGCATTGCAAACAGGAAGTCCTCGGCATGGGTCAGAGTACTAGTATACCCCAGACCACTCGTTTTGAGGAATGGTCTGGGTGTGGCTTGTGGGTAAGAATAGAAAATGAAATTCGGTGAGGTTGTGATTATTTGGATTTTTGAGAACGGATTTTTACTATTGAAATGAAATTATTACGTCTAGGGGTGAATTGTTAATAGGTGAAGTGATGTTAAAAAACATAATTAGTTCATCGTCTTGCGTACACCGCAACAACAAGAGTTTATTTTTCAACACAGATCTCCAGTAAAGAGGGTGGCGTTTGGACGTAACCCCGGAGTTAAACCATAGACAATATAGTAGGAAGGACAAGCAACTCCAGCGATTCTATTGTAGCAGGGTAGGCTGGAAAAAAGTTAAGCTGATTTAAACTAAATGTTTATTTCAATTTCTCGTTAAATGCGTGTTTTTAGGCGGTGAGAGTCGTGAACTCTCGCGAAATGCGTAATCTCGTTAACGAGAGTTGCCTACGGTATTCTAAATGGCCGTTGCTGATCACTAGTTCCGTGTGTAGATGATTTGCTCGATGTTTTTTTTTCGGATTTTGATGCCTGTGGAAATTATGGTGAAGAAGATTCAAACAGTATAGACACAGCAATTCATGTTAACAGCCATGTGTGTGTGATTCAGAGCCCGGACATCAACATCGAAAATAGCGAAGATTTGTGTTTTCTTGATCGTCACGTAAAAGAAACGCTTTGAAACGCTAACAAAAAAACGAAAATAGTGAAAATAAAATAATAAAGAAAATCGTGCCTCATTTATACACAAGTATTCGAGTTATTTTTAATAAAAACATGGTATAACGTAGGTAGACGTGCATTCAGGCTGAAAGACTGGACGTGTAGCCAAGATGGCGACAGACGTGAAAACGGAAGACGGAATTTAGTCTAACCAAAAACAAGCGTAGTCGGTGAAAATACCAAAATTTGAAGATTCATGCATCATGAAAACAATAATATTCGTGTATTTTGTCGAATACGGGGTACAAACTTACACAAGCATTCCGTTTGAAAGAGTGTGAATAGGTAGTCAAGATGACGACAGACATGAAAGTTAATTTCAAAAAAAGTGCAAGACAGAGAACAACAAAACATGAGCACAGTCGGTGGAAAATAACATGATAAGAATTTTCATGCATCATGAAAACTAAAATATTCGAGTATTTTGTCGAAAACGGGGTACAACCTTAGACATGAATTCCGGTTGAAAGAGTGTGAGCTATAGTCAAGATGGTGACAGACGGGAAATCATACGGATTCAATGTCTGTTTGAAAAAAAAATGCGTGGCAGAGAACAATAATAAACGAGCATAGTCAGTGAAAAATAACATAATAAGAAGATTTATGCATCATGAAAACAAAAACATTCAAATATTTTGTCGAAAACGGAGTACAAACTGAATATGGCATGTACGGAAACATTACTGCCGTCTGAAACTAACTTTTAATTTTATTTAATTAAACAGGAACATATATATTAAAAGTAATATTTACTAGTGAACCACGTTCACGAGAACATCTGATAACTAATCTGTGTTCGAAAGATGCGTATTGCGGCAAGAAAACGACTCGTTTGGGGAAAGATACTTGTAGTTCGATACGAAAGTAGTGACATCGCATCGAAGTAAATATGACGTCATTGTTTACTTGCTCATCATAATATTCCAGCCCAGCTTGCGTTGGGCATACGGCGTTTGACATTGGTGTTATAATACTACTATACTGTCTATGGTTAAACAGGGCCCAAATTGATAGGGAGTAAAACACGGAAGTGGAAGAGCTGTCCATGCATTGACCAATCACACAAGAGCTCACAAACACCAACGAAATATTTGTTGCTGTACTTAACAAAGGGGTTTGGCACTAAAAACGTTTATATTGGATTTAGAACGTGTTATAATCCAAATCCCCTGGAAAGAGTTGTAAGCACCAATTTTCATATGTAAAACCTTATATATGAGATCAGACATTTTAAACTTGAAATAATAAATGATATATATAATAAGAACACAGTACTGTATTTATCCGCCGTAAAATTAAAACTTCGAGATTGTATTTCATTAGTTTTAGTAATTATTTTAATTAAAATAATTTTTTAGTAAACCTATTTCCTGAATATGAATGTATTAATTAAACAAACAATACATGAGATGGAATTAAACTCATAATTTAACGTTAATTATAATTATAATTATAATTATAATTATAATTATAATACGTGTTAAATCATAAAGTCCCAGTTTGGAGTTTGTTATTGTCTGGACACAACGGAACGAAGCGTTTTTTAAGAAACATCTTTCGAATACAAGTAAGTAACTAGATTATTGATGTTGCCCTATGTCTATATGTTCACCGATATACGCTATGCATATAACTGAATAATTTCGATCGTCATTTTCATTCTCACCCCTCAACGTTTTATTGACTTGTTTTTTAAAACACTTACTCCTGATTACTTTCGCGTACATGTAGGTACCTCGGGTAGAATCGTTTCAGATTCGTTTATTTCATGACTTTTTCTTTTTAGTTTTCTGTCTCAGAAATATATTTATCAATTTCTGTTTATCGGTGGCGTTGAGTGGTTTATTTGATAAATAAACACTTCATGCTACTAATTATAATTATTCATTTTGTGCAAGTCTGTATTTTCGAATAATTATCTTTGTACTTTAAAATGGCCTATTTCAATATGTAATAGGAATGAATGAAAACATACCTATCTAAAACACTCCAACTTAATGATTGTGCTATATAACAGAAAGAGGAGCGCTATGCTTTCACTGTTTTTATCCAATATATGCATGTCTTGTAGCACAGTCTGCAATCAACATGAGCCGCGCTGTGGTTATACTGATGATGCTTGTGGTATTGTCCGTACTGTGTGAGGATATTATTGATGGAGCGAGAGTACACCACCGCGCCATACATGCACCCAGCACTGGAGGGTAAGAATGTAATACTTAAGTAAAGAGTTACAATTTTAATCGTGGGCATTGAATAGCATTGGCGTGTTTAAACAGCAATTACTTGTTAGATTTTAGTTTCAAACGTATTTGTAACTTATATAAAACACAAGTAATGCTTCCATACAAACTCTCTACACTGCTCTAACAGAATATTTATTTACGTATTCCACAATGAAGACGTTGTTGTTGTTGTTGTTGTTGTTGTTGTTGTTGTTGTTTTCAAATTAGATGTCAACATAGAAATGTGCACTGACTCTTTTTGAGTGTATATCGTGTATAATGGTTAAATAGAATCCATAATGTGCAATAGAAAATATCTATCATGCAAAGGGAATGTATATGAGATCTCGAAGGCCATTTGTGTCAGAGATGTATTGCGAGAGTTACGCTTTATTTTAGAAACCAATTATATTTTTGTTTTTTTATTTACTTTTGTTGTAGCATAGATTGGTTCAAGAGAAATGGTGCGCGAAAGATTGACTACAGACGGGCTAGTGGTAGAACACCGGGAAATCCATACAAGCATTAGTTTACTATAGTTGTAATCTAAATTATGTATTAGAAACTAATAAATAAATGATTATGAGTTGCTCTTTATCTTTAATGATTTGTAGACTTAATTTGTTGATCACCAAAATTAACTATTATCACTTCTGATAAAAAAAAAACCTATACATTTTGTCACTTTTATTTCCAAAATTCAGATTGTAAAAATTACATCACACCTACTCAATATCTATGTTTATAGTTCTCGAATACTCAAAAAACCACAGGAAAATGATTTATCAGTACACACATGGGCCGGTCATGTGTAAAACCTGCTATTATTAAATCATTGGTATTTTCCTGTTTCCATGTTTGTGTTGCCGTGATCGTATATTAGATTATTTGCGTTGATTTACGGGTTAAAATTTTGTGATTAGCGCCACAATGTGACGAGTGTTCAGTCCGGTATTGCTACCCTGTCCTAAAAGGCCATCTACTATATGGTCACAATAACTAGTCAGGAAGTGCTTGTAATCTGCTTTACGGATGCTGCCGAAAATGATTTGTTATATCTTAATTGTCGAGTTTTAGAAACGCGACATCGTCAATAATGACATCATTTTGAAAATTGACAATTATAAAAAAAACTATATATCTCAACGAATAACAAATAAAATCTTTATCTGTCTAATTGAAAATAGTGTATTTTTTTAATATTATTAGTTATGCAAATTGTCCGTAGTTACGTACGTTTGATTTGCAAATAATTTGTGAAATGTTAACGAAATTTCATTACAGTACATATATTTAATTGGTTTAAAATTTATTAACTACACTTCGCAAATGTTATATCTCTATAGGAACAACATATATATCAAAATGAATTTAGACAATTATTGGCAAATTCTTGAATATAAATATTTTAAATTTCTAATTTAACTTGTTATACAATAAAAAAAAATCGAAATTCGTATTTTATGGCTATGGAAAATGTTTGATTGTATTTGATTTAATTTTTTTTTCGTTGTGAGTTTCCATAGTGACGTGTTTTAAACCACTCAACAATGGAACTATAGAACTAATTCATTGATTTAACAGAAACTATTAATGGCAGTACTGGAACCTAATGAATAATTAACTAATGATAAATAATTAGCATAATAATTAGCAACGTTAATTACATAACTAATTAATGATAATTATTTAACTATTATTTATTACGAATTCGTTGCACATTACTAAATTACAAAATATCATAAATTATTGATAAATTATCGTTAATAGTTTGTATCAGCGTGGTCAGTGTTCATGACGATTGTTACAATGTCACAAAAACTGGGTGTCTTATCAAATAATTACTTTTGTATACGGAGTTATGTAAACTACCTAATATTGCATCGTATTGCCTGCATTAGTCAAAGGCGTAAACGCCGATTTACGTAGACAGAAAAATGCGTGTTTAAATAGAGTGATATATACAAATATTTGATTTTGATGTATCAAATACTAATCATTCAATAACATCCTATATAAATATTATAATACTTTCGAAATCGTCAACATTCACTAGGAAGTAAAATAACATAAATAATACATATATAAATTTTCAGTTTTCTAAGTCTGACAAATATAGCATAGTTTGAATGAATAAATTGTACTTTATTTCGACTGTGATGATGTTTTTACCAAAATAATTGCTGATTGCTGACGCGTATATAACAAGTACAATAATTACTGACAAGTAATCGCATGCTATGTTTGGTTTATTACATTCAATTTATATATATGCAAATATTCTACATACTCTTTGGCCTCCACATTATCTTTATTCCGTATTGCCACTAAATAAATTGAGTTTTCGTTAACAACATATTCCCGAGGAACTCATTGCCATAAAGAGTAATGATGCGTGACTATAGTTTAAAGAGGGAGGGTCGTCACCTGCGCA